ATTAAAAAAGCCAAATAAATTTCTTTATTCCATGTTGATGGTAACCAGCCTTTCTTGACTCTTAACCACTTTCGTTGTTTATCATGTTTAGATCCAAGGTTATTTGAGAAAGAGAGAGAGAGATGAAGACATTTTTTTTCCACTTTTTTTTCCTCCCTGACTCATATTAGTTAGTTGTGTGTTTCTGTTGGCATATGTAATATTGCCTCGCCTGCTAAGACCAAAAGAATTTGCAGTTCTGAGGATTTACTCTGTACCTGCCTTCTCAAAAAAGAAAAAAAAATGGTGGCACTATTGCTTCTGGCTACCTCCCACTGCTAAATTGTTTAGAGATTTTGACATGAAAATATTCATTATTTCACATTTTATTTTTGATTAATTTCCAATTTATTTATTTTGTTTGTCATTTTTTTTATCATAATTTTTAATCAATCTGTTTTTCAGTTGTAATTTAATGACTGATAAAATTTCTAAAAATAATAACCACAAAAAAAAAGATAAATAAAAAAAAAAAAAAATGAAGAAATTATTTAAAAATATATATATATATATATATATATATATATAAAATAATGCTCACTACAGACTCGGCCATATTTGTAAATATCACTGCCAAAGACATGTCTTATAGGTGAGATAGTTTTGTATTTAGTGATAGTGTTCGGGCCCAGTTAAACAGATGTCAAAAGCTGATTTTTCAAAGCATGTAGATTGTTCCAACTTGAAAATTGGCACAGTATATACTTTCTAGTTCTTATTCAGATCCTGTCAGATTAATCTTGGCTTGAACATCAGTAGACATCACTGACTGTGGGGGCCGTTCTAACAGAGTAGAGATCCAAGGTTTAATTACAGGAGCATTTTATTTTATTTTTTTATTATTTATTTTTTTTTTAATTTATTTATTTTTTTTTAATTTATTTATTTTTTAATTTATTTATTTATTTTTATTTATTTATTTTTTTATTTTCTTTTGATTACTTAAGGAAAAGGAACAATTTCAAACCATTTTTATGACTTTGGTCTGATTATGAAGCCAACTAGTGCTGTCCTGGGTATGATGATAAACTATGTCCGACAGCAAGGCCTCTGATCAGGAGGTTTTAGGAGCGTGAAACCACCTCTTATTTGCTGGTGTTCCCAGGTCCACCCTGACCTGGGGTGGTAGTACCTGTTAGGGTCCCAGCTATGGGCAAATAGTTAACCCCTGGGGTCAATACACTATGAATGTGTAAAAGTAGGTTTTACTACCAGAAATACTTTTTATAAAAGTTATTACCAGCAGTACATTTTTGGAAAAAAATATTCCCAGCAATAAAAATTAAATAAATTAAATAACCCATTGAGGTTGATATGCTGTAAACCAAACCAACTAGTGAGATTTTGTGTTCTGTCTTGAGTTAAAAACTGTAATTATTATGATTTTATGTCCACCAGTGTTTAGGCCTCAGTTTTCAACTGCCAGTTTTGTACATTTGAAATTTTTGATATTCCCACTGTACATGGAAATAAATTTTACTGCTCACAATTTATAGGCTTAGCTCAGGAGTTGCAAAGACCAAGTGTATGAAAGATGTTAGTGTTGTATAGGTTATGTTCATAATAAACTGGCTTATTGCCATGTCATGCTGAAACACCAGTTCTCATACGATCACCAAAGTTAAGCAATGTTGAGCCTGGTCAATACCTAGATGGGTGATAGCTTGGAGATACTATTACTGTGAGCTTAGATGTGTGGATGGAGTAATGGATAACATTTCGGAATTGGAAATTGGAGAGCCGTGTTCCAATTCAGTTTATATTCACTTACATACAAATAACCTTTGGAAAGTTATGAATGTATCACTTCTCCCCCTACTATGGATAAATCAGTAGGACTTTCACCAGTAAATCATTATCTCCCAAAAGTTCTTACATTCTAAAAAAATATTTTCTGGCTTTAAATAACCCATAAAGTGTTGATAAACCATAAAAAACCCAAGTTAATCACTCATAATAATCTTTTGTCAATCAAGACAAAAAATTCACCAACCTGATTGATTTTGTTCTTGTAAAATAAATTATACTCATGTGGGTCATTGTTATTTAGTGGTAGAGTTTAGGGCTAAAAACTGAGAGTCAAGGATAATTGATTTGCAGGCTCGTAGAGTGTGGTGTATATGTCATTTTATTCTTTAATGAATACATTCAAAATTAAATGACCTTGTATTAGATTTGTTGTGAATGAAATGAATAAATTCAACATTCTTTCCATAGGGTGAGGTTTGTGATCCTTGTAATCAAGATGAATTTTCAGTTTTCTTTTCTGGTGATGTGAATAAACATTGAAATATTAATATTTTACTTTCATGCTTTATATTTTAAGATCAACTGATGAACAAGGTCCAACATACTGTTCACACACACACACACACACACACATATATATATATATATATATATATATATATATGTCTTAAGATGTGCTATATTTATGGGATAAAATGTTCAATATCAGAGATAGAGCGTGTGTAAATATAAAAGTGAACATAGAAGTCAACACTTAGAGGCGACAGTCTGTTTCATGCTAGATGCAATCGTCAGGCCAGGGTGACTTCTATGTTCACTTATATATATATATATATATATATATATATATATATTAGTGGTAAAAATGTTTTGGATGGTGAAATTCTGATGTCAATGCTAGATAAAATTTTACCATGGAATATTCAAGTGGTTTTGTGTTTTTTTGAAATTATTTTGGTACATGCTATGCACGGCCAAACTGGGCAGTTTTCTATTCTTAGGATTATTATATATTTAATAAATAGTTTCAAGAAGAAAAGAAAGTTTAATTTATTCTAGTGTTGACAAGTGTGTAGGGACTTGTTTAATTAAAGGATCCTTGTATTTTTCTTCATAGAATTTTTGGATAAAGGTCCTTTTTTGCTGATATATAAAAATTTATTAATTTCAATTATCAATACAACATGTCTAAGTGTTGTATTTGTGTCTGATATAGGTCATTAGTTTTGAATATGTCCTGAAGATGGTTTAGATTTGATGGGCTTAAACGGTTTTGATAATGAGGTTTGAGTTTTCCATTTTCTATATGTTATAACTTTATTAAAACAGCATGGTGTTAATTGATTTTATAAAAATTTTTGTTTTAGTTTTTGTGTATCTTTTTCTTAAAAATTTATATATATATATATATTATATATATATTTGTGGTCTGATCCATACATCATATTTACGATTCAATGGAATAGTTTTTAGTGACCATGGAATTTTAGTGTTTTACTTTTATTATTTATCTACACACACACAAAAAAGGTTTTTCTTCATTTTATGTTTGATATTATCATCATAATTGAAGAAAATTTTTATTTATTATTCTTGTTTAAGTGACCCTTTTGTTTAGACTAAAAATTTGGAATTTTCTTGATTTGTATTTGGATCTAAAATGCTTGGGTGATATCGGAAAATTTAATTTCATTATCAACCCAATATACAAATGTTCCACACTTTAAGGAAAATGAATTGTCCTGAAGATGGTTTTTTAGGAAACGTTCAACGTTGACATATTCATTAAAACAGCATAATTTATATAAAAGATTTTTGTTTGTTTTTTCTTTATATATTTTTCTTCATTTTTTATAATTTCCTTTTAATATCTTTTGTCCACGATCCTTACATCATTTTTCAGTTTTTAGTTTTAGTTTTCTTTTTTTACTTTTATTATTTGTCTGTTTTAAAATCCTTCATTTATGTTTTATTTTCATCATTATTTTCCTTTTTATTTATTACCCTTTTAAGGACCCTTTTATTAGACTTTCTTTTCATTGGGTTGATTTGCCCTGCCTCCTTTAATTTTCATATCGGACAATTTCCTTTCCTTTTCAATATACAAAGTTCCCTTTTTAGGGAAAATGTCTCCTTTTCATACCTTTTCTCCTTTCCTTACCCTTTTCATACCCCTTTCTCCTTTCCTTTTCTTTTCATACCCTTTCTCCTTTCCTTTCCTTTTCATACCCTTTCTCCTTTCCTTTTCTTTTCATACCCTTTCTCCTTTCCTTTTCTTTTCATACCCTTTCTCCTTTCCTTTTCTTTTCATACCCTTTCTCCTTTCCTTTTCTTTTCATACCCTTTCTCCTTTCCTTTTCTTTTCATACCCTTTCTCCTTTCCTTTTCTTTTCATACCCTTTCTCCTTTCCTTTCCTTTTCATACCCTTTCTCCTTCTCACCTTTTAAAAAAACCTGACCATCCGTCACTTTCTTTTCCCCCCTCCTTCTCCCTTCTCTTCTCTCTTGCCTTCCCTTCCCTTCCCCTCTCACGCTAATATATTAATCCAGGGTATTGTCTCCATTTACTAAGAGATTTTGGTCTGAAGAGATGAATATATAGATATTCACGAAATAAATTATAACCGAAATTAATTTTTAAGCTTTTCTTCTTTATTATTATAATGTTCTGTAGTCTACATTGAGTTCTCCCTGGATTAATATCCTCCTTGGAATTATCCCTACCAGCCCAAATTGGTAATATCTCTATCTATCTATCTATCTATATATATATATATATATATATATATATATATATATATATATATATATATATATATACACACACACACAACCAAATATTACAGAACATATATTCTTTTGGTCACATATGGAAGATGACCTAACATAATGTTATGCAGCATGCACTAAATTCTAACATACAATGAAAATTTCAGGTAAAAATTCAACCAAAAACTGTTAGTTGCATAATTTATTGATCCAACTTCATATTTATCTATTTTAATTTTTTATATCTTTTTAATCTTTCAGATTTCCTGTAAAATACAATATCTAAAAGTTTGAACACATCCAAAAGAAAAGAAAAATTCTTTTAGAAAATAAACAGAAATTCCAGGAAAATGTTTGTCAGTGTTTGCAGTCTCCTCTTGTGTTTGTTTTGCCTTGCAAATGTCTCATCCCAGAATATTCCAACTATTAACTGTGCTACCATGATGCCTGACAGAGTATCAACAATTGGACCACAGATAGGACCAAGTCCATTCAAAATAAAAGTTCGGGGCAAAACATACAAGGCTGGAACTCCATTGACAGGTAAATCATATGAATCTCTTCTGTTGTGACTGTGTTTTATTTATTCTGTCAAGTGTAGAATTTTTTTGGTGTTTGTGCCATTTTAAAGAACTGCATGCACTTCCATGACTAAGATTTACAGGGTTTTAAAAAGTATCTGACATGGTACAAAGTCTTTGCTAACAGAAAGCTTAAAAATTGACACAATTTGGATTAAACGTCAAAATCAATATGGTTGGTTGCTCGTTTCCAAGTGTGCCTATCTGCTATGGTCCCTGTAGCAGATGCCTTCTCAGGCATGTTTTATGTTTGTTCAATGCCCACAGCCAGTGTGCTCTCCTCACTGGTTGTGAATACAATGGTAACTTGAGAAGGAGATCCAGTTTGACTTCAAAGCAGCTGGAACAAAATGCACAGGAACAGTTCATGCTCTATTGAAAGACAAGTTGAAAAAAAGAAAAAGATTCCTGAATTTTCAGATGAAGTACATTTGTAAGCATTTATTGAAGCTTTTTGAAAGTTTTTTTTTTTTTTGTGCTCTTTCCACTGGCCATGTCAGTGCTCTCCCATCTAGCAATCTCTTGGTGTTTTCTTAATTTAATTTGTTTTGACATGGTGTTAACTTTTTTTTTCTGTTTTATAGTGACTCTGACGAGCATCCCAAATCGGCAATTTCAATATTTCATGATCCAAGCTCGAAAGTATAATAGTTCTGATGTCAATCCTTATGGAAGTTTCTCCGGAGCCGGACGTCAGGTTATGATTCAGGAATGTATTCACTCAACTGGCGTAAGTATGGCTGACTTCTTCTTTGACATAACCTTTTTTTTTTTTTTTTTTTTTTTTTCTATCATGGAAAACTTACTTGCAAAAAAATATCTTGCTGTAAAATAAACTTGCCTTTTAAAAAATTAGTGAATAACAATGCCAAACATACTTCACATTCACTTAATATCATTAATTGTAATGTAACTCAATTGTAATGTAATATAGAGCTTTTAATAAAATCATTAAAATTTAATCCAATTAAATGCAACACCTGCCCATATTTCTGAGATGAGGTATTATGTACAATATTTACATTATTTGGACTATTGTCCTCATCTTTGTCGCCATATTTATTACAACGTTTTGGCTGTTGTACGCTCCAGCCTTCTTCAGGTGGTTGGAATGTCGAACTGAACCCTTTATTTCATTCACTGGAGTAGACTGTTCTAGTTCCACATGCCAAGTTTAATAGATGTCAGTTATCAGTTTATCTCCTGTTAATTTTCCCTCTGAAAGTTCTCTACTGCCTTAGCCAGGTATTGAACTCATACTCTTTGGGTCCTAAGGCAGTGGAGAACTTTCAGAGGGAAAATTAACAAGAGATGGCTGATAACTGACATCCATTAAACATGGCACATGGAACTAGAACAGTCTACCCCAGTGACCAGTGAGTGAAATAAAGGGTTCAGTTCAACATTCAAACCACCTGAAGAAGGCCGAAGCGTACAACAGCCAAAACATTGTAATAAATATGGCGACAAAGATGAGGACAATAGTCCAAATAATGTAAATGCAACACTTCTTTCATCTGATAAATGTTAACTTACATCACTTGTAAATACTATCAAGGCAAACGTATAACGAACAGTTAACCATAGAAATTTTTTTTTATTATACTATTTTTAATATTCTTATGACTGTTTTTATTTATTATATATTTAGATTTTGAAATTAAAAGTTTATATTACTGAAGCACATGATCACCACAATATAATTATAGACAAACTTTGGCATATTGTTTTTATTGAATTTTGTGTCTCTATAATAGACAGGGCTGACACACAAAATACAAAATGTCTATTAAAGAAAGTTTCTATCTTGCAAAAGGGAAACTTATTTAAATAAACAAGTTAAATATGAAAGTTTAGCAAACATGGACTTTCATCCCAGCAAAAAAGACAGTGTATCAAAAGAATGGTTCTTCCCATGACACCGATATTATTTTAACTACCTTCACTCTTTGCCAATGTTGTTTTAAAAAGTATTGATTAGAATTGGAATAAAACTTAAACATACAATGAAAGTGAAATCGCTGGTAGTTTCCATTCTCCTATATGAATGTGAAATGTGGACGCTGTTGGCAGATACAGAGAGAAGGATCCAAGCGTTTGTGAACAAATGCATGAGAAAACTCTTTGGCATTTTCTATTGGGAACAAAAAAACCAATGTGTTTGTGTGAAAAAGTGTTGAAAGTTTTAAGTTTTGTGGGACACAGGGAACCTCTTCTTGCCATTGTCAAATGGAGAAAAATGGCGTGGTTTGGACACATTATAAAGCATGACAGCCTTTGCAAGACCATCATGCAAGGCACTGTTGAAGGTGGAGGTAAGAGAGGACAGCAATGTAAAAACTGGTTGGACAATATCAAACAATGGACAAGTACGATTGTACCAGAAATGCTGAGAGTAGTCGTTGACAGACCGTTTTGGAAAAGAGTTAGTGTGGCTTCTGCATTTTGATCCACCCTATGATTACAAAAGTCAAATGGGGGATGATGATGATGATGATGATGATGAAAGTCCATGTTTGCCAAAGTGTTAAGGATAAAATAATTTTATAGAATTACATGTTTTTTTTTCTTCATCTCTCTTCCTTCTCTCTATTAAAGTTATGAATTATCTTCTCTTCTGTAAGAATTTTGAATTATTGTCTGTTAAAAGTCTATTGCATTTTGACTTTTCAACTGGAAAATTAAATCCATGTAATTCTTTGGTTGATGAAAGGAATGGAAGTCCCAAAACTTATACCAACATCCAATAAAAAAGAAATTGCAGTGTTTGTTTACAATAAATTTATATACTATATATTTCAATGTATAAAGTGACCTTTAGATAAAACAAGGTTTACCTCATCTTATCGAAAGAATATATATAAATAAATATAAATAAAATATAACAAATTTTCATGAATTTGTCCTATATCTGTAGTATAAGATGACTGCTTATTGATTATATAAAGATGATGTTAAGGGAAATGCCATTATTTACTGTATCCTTAGAAATTCAAAATAACCGAAATAACAAAACCAATTCTATATAACGTTTTCCCTACACCCGTCCCCTAAAAGGAAACCAATGTTTTGTTTACATTTCATTACATGATCTCTTGTGAATACTGATACTTCTTTTTCTACATCTAAGCAGTTACAAACAGCCTGGTGTACTAGTGGCCTTTTATTTATACTTCATTGACAATCACAAAATACTGCTAATAACAGTATGATGTTTAATTTATGATCATTTTTAATAAGAAATGAATATTATGTTATCTTAAATGTTATTACTGCCATAAGTAACCCTACCATGATGATGATTGAAAGTTTAGCGAAATATAAAGGTTCCTGTGAAGGCAATCATAATTCAATATTTAAATTTTCTCATGTGAGCTTATATCGATACAAGTTGATTTCATTGATATGGAATTATTCTTCGAATAGGCAATTTATTATGGTTATTTTCTAAGCATGGCTTAGATGTGGCACAAGGCCGAAAGCATGGGGCACCCAGTGAGGATTAAACTCACTACTCAGTTGTAATTGTGCTAGTGAGACAAGCTTGCTAACCATTACACCACATTGGGATTCCCAAGGCAGTTTATTATGAAGTTATGCCCAAGGCAGTTTATTATGAAGTTATGCCCAAGGCAGTTTATTATGAAGTTATGCCCAAGGCAGTTTATTATGAAGTTATGCCCAAGGCAGTTTATTATGAAGTTATGCCCAAGGCAGTTTATTATGAAGTTATGCCCAAGGCAGTTTATTATGAAGTTATGCCCAAGGCAGTTTATTATGAAGTTATGCCAGTCATATATAAGTTAGAAATGGTTTTATTACATTTATTATCAGTTTATTTGAGAATTTGAATCTTTTCATGTATGTTATTGGTTTTTGCACCAAGGCTACTGATAAAAAGTCACTTGGAATTTAAGGTTTCTTTTTTAGAATTGTAGAATAAGATACTGCCCCCCCCCCATTTTTTAAGGGTGATTTGGGGGGGATTTAAAGGTCATCTTATGCATGGAAATATACAGTCTTTATAAATTATTAATCCTTTTTTCAATATTTTTTTTAATACTTGTTTGTGTTCTCATTTCATATCAATTTTTATTGATACATTATTAGATTTCTTATTAGTTTCATTATTATCCCATCAATGGTGTCATGAATTCCGATATTATTGGTTCGTATCTATAACTAATTAATGACAACTGTCCCAAAAATAGGACAGTGGTCATTAATGAATTAATAATACAACAAAATTTTTATATCTTAACCTTATTTGCTATCTCATAAATTTTTTTATTTATAAATTGATATTATGAATTTATTTTATTGTATTCAATCAGTCAAGTGCCATACACACTTGAGTGATCATGTCTCTGTCAATTCATGACTATGCAGAAGATTTTCCCTCAGTAGGTTGCCATTTCTATATGCGATTGACTAGTTGCCAACCAAGGCTAATATCCTTTAAAATACCATGAGACTGTATGATATAAGCGATCATGGCTCTCTATAGATTCGTCTTCCCTACGGTTTAGAATACAGAGTTTTCATTCCCTCAGAATGATTGTCACCTAAAGCTAGAGTGCATAAGCCATCGTGGTGGAAGAAGAGACAGATTAATGCAATTCCTATTTGGGCAAAAATGAATGCACCAGTTTGGTTCATTGATTTGCCCTTTGTGTGCTGATAAGTTATTCTACCCAGACATTCAATATTTATGTATATAAGATAATAACAATCCCCAGAATTAAGATCTTGATGATTGTTACATTTGATTAATATTTCTTTTTCTTATTATTTATTCTATTTTTGTCTTCTTATATTTTTAATATTTAATTATTATTGTTAATAATAATGTTTTTAATATCATTTTTTACACGATATATTTCTTAATATATTTTTAAAATATTTTCTAGGATTCTTATGTCAAAGTCAATAGAGATACCATGTCTGATATTGTTTTTAAATGGACCCCGCCTCGAAGTCCTGTTGGACATATTCAATTCATGTAAGTATTAAAAATTGGCAGGTTTTATAAACTTGTATTCCAACTACATAATTTTACTCTAGTTTGTACAAGTGCCATCTCCTGTAAATATTAATAGATGAAAAGTATTTTCATTTTTACATATCTTTATTGCAAAGGAAGAAGGAATTTTTTTTTATTTTTTATTTTTTTTTCCCTTAACATGAATGGAAATGGATAAGTGTAATCGGAATGTGATTCTTGAGTGTATTTTTGTGTGTGTAACTGTATGCTTATATGTCTCAGTGAGGTGAAACAAATTGTTACTTACCACTTTAAGCTGAGCATGCCGCTATGTTCCTTACCAGATAGAAACTGTGGTTGCATTTGTTTCTTTTTTCTTTTATGGAAGAGCACACATTGCTTGTGAACCAGAAGTTATCTGGGATTGGACCATAAATTGCCAAGAGAAGTCACAGTGTGTGGTCAGGAGGATGGAAAAAAATTGTAGCTAATGGAAGGTACACAAGTTGATACCCGATCAATATTGGCTGGGTCACTGTGGAGAGGGGGTATGATGTTGAAAGACCCAAAACCCCTAATGAACCTTGACTAGAAACATTACTGATGATGTGTACCAAAGCATCCAATAGATATATTTTATGAAATGAAATATTCACATCTAAAGGATATAACTCTAATATATTCTTATTATTCTTATTATTCACTCACTCAAGTCACGTCTACTCCACTGACGAGTATATGGGAACAATAGCTCTCAACAAACTAGGTGTTGTTATTGTGCTTTCTATAGCAAGCCCATTTTTATGGAATGCAGTCATTAGTCCTATGCTCAACAGATTTTGAATTTATAGTAATCCTTCTCATGGATTGGTTGCCAACTAAGGCTGAAGAGCTCAGTTTGTTCCTACTATTTAAGCCATGACTGTGAAAGGAGAGGTATAGTCATATGTTGCCCAAAGTTATTTGCTGGAAAGTGGAACTATTGAACCCAACTGGAATTTGAACTTGGCTTGCCGATTTCTTGTCCTGACCTGCTAAACATTACATCACTTGCACGTTTATTTATTACATGGACATCAAATCATTATCAATACTGTTCAGTTGGCAATGTTTGTTTCATATGTTATTGTTGTGATGAAATAACCTGACTTCCCCATTCACCATAAATGGACGTTCCGGTGGCCGATAAAGTTCGACCACAGTAAACAGGATCAACAGAAGGTTCAACAGAGCGACAACAAAGGTCTTCGTTGACTACACCATTGCGGTTAGCTTACTCCTACTTTGTCTCTGTATTTTGACATTCCTACATTCCGATATAAAGTATTATTATTTAAACCACCACTCGGGTTTACTTTGTTATTATATCTTTTTGCGAGATATAACGACTGGCTTATTTAGATATAACAGTTGGCTTAACGAGGATTGAAACTTACGGAAAAAAAACTTTTTGACGCCTAACCATAACAGTTGGCTTAACGAGGATTCGGAACATACTTACGAAAAAAAAAATATATATATATACGCTGAACGGATTTTTGAAAGCGGAGTCACAAGTCAAAAGGAAACTTTTTGAAAAGTAAGAATTTTTACTGTTAAATTGTGATTTGAAAAATATATTTTGAACCGCGACTCAAAAACGAGCCGGTCTAATAATTATTCAAGTAAGAATTACGGGTTGTAAAAATATTACGGCTGTAAATTGTTTGTTGAGATTGTTAACTGTCTAAAAAAGAAAAAAAAAAATTTTTTTTTTTCTGTGTTTTGCCGAATTCTAAAATAAGGATGGAGCAATTAGTCGAAATGACTAAAATGCTGTGTACAAGCTTACAACAGCAACAACAACAGTATCAAGAGTTACAACAACAGCAACAAAAACAGCACCAAGACTTACAACAACAAATATTGCAACAGCAAAAAAGTCTCGAAAAAGTTTTGGAACAGGCGACTGGAGAAAGAAAAATACTGTTTTTTTCTGTCGGAAGGAATAACAAATTCATTATCCGAATTTATTTATGATCCTGATTCTGGCATTACATTTCCAGCGTATTTTTTAAACGTTTCAAACTATATTTACCAAGAGATGTCAACATTGGTCGGATGAGGAACGAGTAACATTACTAGTACAGAAACTAGGGACAAACGAGAATAGGAAGTACTCAAACTTGATACTGCCCAGAAAGCCAGAAGAAGTTTCGTTTGAAGAAACTATAAGTATTCTGTCAAAATATTTGTGAGAGGAATAGTCTGTTCCACACACGATACAAATGCCTAAACATCGTTAAAGCAGATAACGAGGATTTTTGTGATATACGCGGGAACAGTGAACTCTCTGGTTGAACAATTCAAGTTAGAAGAAATAACCAAAGATGTATTCAAGTGCCTAATTTTTCTTCAAGGACTAACTGATCCTAAATATAAAGAAATTAGGTCGAGAATATTAGTAATGGTCGAGCAAGACTCGAATATAACATTACAAAGGGTAACCGAAGAATGCCAACGTCTCATAAACGTAAAAAGGGACAATATTCAAATTGAGGAGAAAAGTGTTGCTAATGTTAGACACGTAAAAACTCGAAAAACTCCAAACGCCAAAAAGGTACAAAAATGTGAGACGTGTGGAAAAAAAAGTCATACCAAAGACACGTGTTGGTACAAAAATAAATTCTGCCAAACGTGTGGGAAAAAAAATCATACCAAAGACACGTGTTGGTACAAAAATAAATTCTGCGAATCGTGCGGAAATAAAGGGCATAAATATACGGTTTGTCGAAAGAAAAGAAGAAAATTACAAGATGTAAGCCTGGTATTATCAGAAAAAGAAATTCAGAAAGGAAAAAATAGAAAGTACGTAGATGTACGTATAAATAATCATAAAATTACTTTCCTACTGGATTCTGGTTCAGACATAAGCATCATTGACGAACAAACTTGGAAAAAATTTGAAGACCTAAATTATTTGAAACCAAAAAAAACCGCTAGAGGGGTTTCAGGAAAGAAATTAAACTTTAAGGGAGAATTAAAGTGCAATATTTCGTTATGTGGCAAGACTGCAAAAACGAAAGTGTATGTAGTCCAAGGGATTAATTCATGTCTTTTTGGAATAGACTGGATAGTACTCTTTGATTTGTTTGAACTCCCGATTAACTCATTTTGCAATGTAATAAACAGTGCCGAAAAACAAAAAAATATTAAAAATGAAAAATTCATAAATGAATTAAAGGAAGAATATCCCAGAGTTTTTTCTGAGGGATTGGGTTTATGTACCAAAACGGAAGTCAAATTTGAACTCAAGGAAAATGTGAAACCAATTTTCAAACCTAAGAGAAACGTCCGTTTTCCTCCTTAGACACAATTAATAAGGAATTGGAAAGACTTGAAAAAAATGGGAGTGATATCTAAGGTTGAACATTCAGACTGGGCCTCACCCACAGTTTATGTTAAGAAGAAAAATGGAAAATAAGAGAGTGCGCAGATTTTTTCAACTGGATTAAATGATTGCCTTAAGAATCACAGTTATCCACTACCTTCACCAGAAGATATTTTTCAAAATTAAATGGTGGGAAGATTTTTTCAAAAATCGACCTGTCTGACGCATACTTGCAGATTAAAGTGAGTGACGAATGCTCGAAATATTTGTGTATAAATACACATAAAGGTATTTATAAGCTAAATAGGCTGCCTTTCAAAAAAAAAAAAGTCGCCCCAGCTTTGTTTCAACAGGTGATGGACACTATGCTGGCAGGCCTGGAGTTTGGTACCGCCTATTTAGATGACATTCTAGTCAAAAGTAAGAATGTTCAAGAACATAAACGCACATCAGAGCGATATTCAAAAGACTAGAAGATTTTGGTTTTAAATTAAGCCACGAGAAGTGTAAATTCTTCATGGAAAGAATTACATTACCTCGGACAGGTAATAGACAGTGAAGGCAGGACCCCGGACCCACAGAGGGCGATGCAATTAAAAAACATGCCTGCACCCGACACAGTTATGAATTACAATCGTTTCTGGGGTTTGCACAATATTATGCAATTTACATACCTAAATGTATGATTTAAGAGCCCCCCCCTCAACGAATTGTTAAAAAAAGACAAAAATGGTTTTGGTCAAAAGAGTGCGGGGACGGCTTTTCAGAAAAAAAAAAATGCCTACTCTCAGATCTCGCTTTAGCACATTATGATCCTGAGAAAGAGATCATTCTAGCAACTGACGCAAGTTTATACGGAGGGTGCTGCACTGCTACACAAATATGAAGATGGTACTACCAAAACCTATCGCCAAGACGCGTCAAGGACTCTTCTTCCGCTGAAAAAAATTATAGCCAGATCGAGAAGGAGGCTTTTGTCGATTGTGTTCGGAGTTAAAAATACCACCGCTTCTTACATGGTAGATCATTTGTTCTGCAAACGGATCATAAACCGTTACTTTCAATATTTGGAAGTAAAAAAGGCATTCCTACGATACAGCTAATCGCTTACGGCGATGGGGTGTAACCCTGCTTAATTACCATTTTAGGATGGAATACGTCAAATCTAAAGAACATGGGCATGCGGATGGATTGTCAAGGCTGATTCAAAAAATGAAGAATTGTTAGAAGAGACGGTTATAGCAGCATTAACTGAGGAAAAAGAAATCTCAGGTCTCTTATTGAATACAATCAGGGAATTGCCAGTAACATTGGACAAAATAAAAAAAAGCGGAAAAAGATCACTATATTGTGAAATTAAAAAACCAGACAAATTGGAACAAAAGACAGAAAAAGGAACTCAGATTTCACCTTTTTTCAATTTGTGACAACACGTTGATGTACGCAGATAAATTGTCATACCTCAATCTTTACGGACAGATATACTGAAAGAATTTCATACCGGTCATCCTGGAATGTCCCGGATGAAATCACTCATGCGTGAAGTTACGTATTATACTGGCGGGAATGGACAAGGATATCAAGATTTTGTAAGACTATGTAGAGGTTGTCAATTGGCTGCAAGGGCACCTCCGGTCAAAATGAATCCTTGGCCTAAAACGGATTTGCCGTGTGGGCACGTCTACATATAGACTATGCTGGACCAATCAATGGACACTATTATTTGATATTGGTGGACTCTTTATCGAAATGGCCTGAAGTAGTCAAGTGCAAGCATCCTACATCTAGGAACACCATCAGTGCATTGGATGAAATTTTTCAGTCGTTTAGGGTTCCCAGAACATTAGTTAGCGACAATGGTACGGGCGTTCACAAGTATGGAATTTAAGGATTTCTGTACCGCCTTAGACATTGAACACATAACTACACCAGTGTGCCATCCCAGGTCGAACGGTCAAGCCGAGAAATTTGTCGACACTTTTAAACGTGTTTTACGTAAAAATAGAGGTATAGACACTGAAGAAAGAACTATTCAAAAGTTTTTAGCAATCTATAGGGTAACTCCTAATGAGAACAATAATGTGAAAATGTCACCTGCGGAAATTATGTTCGCAAGAAAAATTAGATCAATTTTCGATAGATTGTTACCCTATCAAAATAAAAAAAGTTGCTAAAAAAGACGAAAAGTCAATATAAAAAAAATACAAACCAGGAGACAAAGTTTTTTAAAAAAAAACTTTAAAAGTGGGAAAAGCTTTTGGATGGATGGCATAATCCAGAAAAGGATTGGTAAAGTGGTCTACATGATTAAAAGTAATAAATTTATGTGTAAAAGACACATCAATCAGATTAGACCACGATATGGTGAAGAAAGTGAAAAAAAGCGAAGAAGAAATTCCGATGGAAGTGTTATGCGATGCTTTTTTAACATGACACTACCCAATAGTGTATTGGAACCTGTATCACATGAACCAGCCTTACGGGCTGGAAAGCGGAAATTATCTTCGCCAAAAAGGATCAAATTGCGACGACTGAAAGAAGGAGCACACGGCAAAGAAAAACCAGTGGAGCGTTTTAGTCCGGATCCAAAAAGAAGACGATATTAGAAGCAGAAATTTTCAAAAGGAAGAATTTCAGCTTCGGGGGGAGGTGTTGTGATGAAATAACCTGACTTCCCCATTCACCATAAATGGACGTTCCGGTGGCCGATAAAGTTCGACCACAGTAAACGGGATCAACAGAAGGTTCAACAGAGCGACAACAAAGGTCTTCGTTGACTACACCATTGCGGTTAGCTTACTCCTACTTTGTCTCTGTATTTTGACATTCCTACATTCCGATATAAAGTATTATTATTTAAACCACCACTCGGGTTTACTTTGTTATTATATCTTTTTGCGAGATATAACGACTGGCGACGAGATATAACAGTTATGATGGCAGATACTGATATTGAGATTCTAGTAATGTTGAGGAATTACTTTAAAATGAAAATGTTTGCAGAATTCAGAATATCATGAAAGAGAGAATACCAGACAAAAAATCAAAAGTTTGAAAAGAAGCAGAGAAAGGAATGGTCATCTACTGTTGATTATGAGTCTTTAAAAATACAAGGTCATGGATAAACTGACCACTTGAAAATTTTTTACAAGTCTTAGGGTCATCAAAAAATTTCAAATTTAAAGCATTATATATGTTTCAAAAGACATGCAGGAGCTATTGAGAGATTCCTCCATGGATTAAAAAATACATTTAATACACCAAAAGATTTGAAAAATTCTCTGAGGTCAAAATTATTTACTATAGTCAATTTTCTTTTGTTTCCTTTAAATGTAAAAAACAAAACAACAAAACAATTTAAATAATAAGAAATAAGAATAGAGTGAATTGGAACTCATAATGAATCTTGCAATTCATAGAACAAAGTTTGAAATTAATGCTCTCCTATCACCCTGACAGGCTATTATTTTTGGATAATTACTTAAGCTTTCTTGAGGAAGATACAAATTTCTTAAAGAAATATTATTTTTCCTTGCCAATAGTGTCAGGTACAAAAGCAGACCCCACCCCATATTCTTTTTAAACTGGTGAATAAAACCTGAATAAAAAAAATGATGATTTAGACTTTTATTTGTACTATTTACATTGTTCGGACTGTTGTCCTCATCTTTATTGCCATATTCACAGTCTATATTTCTGAGATGAGGTATTGTAACTATTTACACTATTTACATTGTTTGGACTGTTGTCCTCATCTTTATTGCCATATTCACAGTCTATATTTCTGAGATGAGGTATTGTAACTATTTACACTATTTACATTGTTTGGACTGTTGTCCTCATCTTTATTGCCATATTCACAGTCTATATTTCTGAGATGAGGTATTGTAACTATTTACACTATTTACATTGTTTGGACTGTTGTCCTCATCTTTATTGCCATATTCACAGTCTATATTTCTGAGATGAGGTATTGTAACTATTTACTCTGTTTACATTGTTTGGACTGTTGTCCTCATCTTTATTGCCATATTCACAGTCTATATTTCTGAGATGAGGTATTGTAACTATTTACTCTGTTTACATTGTTTGGACTGTTGTCCTCATCTTTATTGACATATACATGATGTTTCATTCATTATATGCTTCGATCTTCTTCAGGTCATATGTTGGAATTTTGAACCAAACCCATTTTTTAGGTCACATGGATAGATTGTTCTGAGACATTAGGTTTTTAAGTACCAAAAATTCACTCACTAATGTCTCCAAGGACAAAAGTGTTGGTTGAGTAATCCAAAGAGTGACTTGGGACCCAAAATGCTGTGAGTTCAATACCTGGTCACAGCAGAGGGAACAAAAAAATAGCTTAGAGTTGAGTTACTAAAGGGAATTAACTGATACTGAGATATCCAAAAAAGGTATGGCACGTGGAATTAGAACAATCTACTCCCATAGACTAAATAAAGGATTCTGTTCAAAATTCCAATGTATGTCACCTGAAGAAGGCTGCAGTGTACAACTGTGAAATGTGAATATGGCAATAAAGATGAGAACAGCAGTCCGAACAATGTAGGTAGTGTAAATACAATCTCAGAAATATAGACAGATATTTGTATTATTTAGCTCTAAATGGAGAAAATCATTAAATTAGGATCTAATATTGAAATTTAATTTTGCTTTAATAAACAAGGAAATTATATTTTTTCTTTCAATTTTTGATTGAATGAACTCTGAACAAACAACATTGATGTGCACCAAAAACAAGGAAGAATTTTAAAAATGATAAAACATGAAGCAAGTAATTGCAAACAAAAATGTTTTTGATGGACTTTAAATGAAAATATTTTGAAACTGACTTTAAAAATCTTTGATTTTGAATTGTTACATTCGTGCTGGCATTGTAAATATACAAAATGAATGTGTATAGCAGAATTCTTAAAGTGGGATAAAAGTTACTCTGAGCATGAAATTTAATTTATAACAACATTTCTATGTAAAATTATTCAAGGGAATTTAACTAAAAATTTTAATAATAAAGTCGTGATTTTTATAGAAATTTGTTTTTGTAGTTATTTTTTTTTTTAACAACCTTTTTTACTTGCATTAAAAACTAAAAAACAATAAATATTTATTTCCTTGTATTTTAATTTAATAACAAAATTAAAAAAAAATACATTCTGATTTCAGGATGGTTTAAATTTTTATGAAGATGCTGATGAGAATTTCTTGTGTGTACCACCATTTTGTTTTTGATAGGATACTTTGCAGCACAGACTAAGCTAAAAACGCCCCTCCCCAACACACAATATCATAAAAATGTGTAACAAAACAGATCTTGTAGACTACTGTAGAGTAATTGGCCCTGTAATTGGCAGAAATGCACAACAAACAGAATTGTTAAAATTTTGCAATAAACAATAACAAGAGAAAGAAAAGACCAGGACAAAATTAATATTGAACAAGCAAACAATATATACAAGGCAAAGCAATAGTAAAAAGGCAAAAAGTTCACAAAGAATGGTGTTAACACAAAGAACGGATACGGACAAGTGATCACAGAGTTTTAACTTCAAGACAAGAACAAAACTCAATCAGATGAGACCAAGAAATGGCCTATCATATTGCCTAAGAAGAAATCCCAGCATGCATCTGTATGTTTTGTCTATACATTTGGGGACTGGACTGAAGGTGAAAAGACAAAAGGGAATTGTGTAGAGAATTGGCTATAGTTAAATGTAATTGGCAGAAACACCCAACAAATAGAATTGACAAAGTTTGTGATGAATAATAACAAGAGAAAGAACGGGGCATAAAATAATATTAAACAAGCAAACAAGATAAGCAAGACAAAGCAACAGTAATAAGGCAAAAAAGTTTCAATTGTGTTAACACACAAAAGGGATACAGATAAGTGATCACAGAGTTCTAACTTCAAGACAAGAAAGAACAGAACTAAGTCAGATGAGACTGAGTAGTGGCCTATCTTATTGCCTAGGAAGAAATCCCATCATGCATCTGTATGTTTTGTCTATAAATTTGAGGAGTGGAAAGTATTTTGCAGTCATTCCATTCAGTTTGAAACCAACAGTTATTATATGTCTATGCTGGTTTGAAAATAGTTATTTAAATAATAAGAAAGTTCTAGTTAGTTTATAACATGAATGTTTGGGACTGGTATTTTGAAAATGTATATATATATACCAACAGCAGGCAATGCAAGTTTTGCAAACATATATAAGTACGACTACAGTAGTAAAAATGTTAACGATAAAGATAACAATTCTCAGAATAATATGTGGGGTACCGATGACTGTTTTTATTTCATTTGGTTAAGCAATATTGTCTATTCTGACTAAATGTGTTTTGTCATATTATTTTTAAGTTTTTGATTTTCTCTTTGTTGTTGAAATTCTTTTGTCAAAAGATTCATGTTTGCTTCACTTGTCTTCATTCTAGTATGACCATCTTTGAAAATGACAATACCTTTTGGGTACGGGAAAAGTCTGGTGTTATTGCTGATGAAACACGCCCTCCACCACTTCCCAGAGAACCAGAAGAGGTGAGTGTGAATTCAATTGATCTTGGTTCTTTTTTAACATTTCTAGAATAAAACAACATTTCCAGAATTAGCCAATATAAAGATGTTAAGAAAGGATTTTTTTTTTCTATGTCTCCCTTGACAAATTTTTGTATTCATCTTCGCTGTAAATGTTTTCCCTCTTCCGTCTCCCCTGCTTAAATCTCGGTGTATCATAGAAAAGGTGAAGTATGGATAACCAAAAATGACAAAACCTTATATTACCCATAATGGTATGAGATTCCCTGTAATAAAACACTTTCATGTTACTGGTAGTAATAAGAAATATTCTACAATATTTTTATGTTTAATTATTGTGACACCCATTAGCGGTCGTAGTCCAGCACCAATATGTGACGCCCACTGGTCGGCCCATGGTCAACTCCCAGTTGCGGTGCGAATCTGTAAGGTTTCTTCCATCAGCGTTTGGGGTTGACTCATTGTCGCTGCCACCATCCTGTGTCCCGGTCGATCTGGTCGTTCCCGGTTTGATACCAACTTGTTCCCAGCTCACTTCCAATGTCTAATTACCGAAGTAACTACTTTGATCTCAAGTTGAACCTACCCATGTTGTGATTTTGATCTTAGGTAGACGAAATCAGGTGTTGGGCCGTAGTGCAAGTTGAATCTGGGGTAAAGGTGATACCGCACAAGCATAAGCAAAAGAAAATAATAAAACAAACTCATGAGGTTCAAATATGTTGAGAAATAACAATTATCTTTATCTGTTGAATACAGGAGTGTGTTTCTCTCTCGGCCCATTTCTATGGATTTGTGACACTTTTTGCATTTCTGAAGCAAGTTATGGTATCTTAAGTCGTTCGTCAATAAAAACTTTTGGTAGGAAGACTAAGTCGAAAAGGACGTGGAAATCTTTCGGTCAGCTTCTGCGAGGCTAGCCTCCAACTTCTTGAACCAACTCCAAACTTGAACTGTCTGGAACTGCGAACTCCTGAAAACTGACTAGCTGCTTCGATACGTTCGTTTATATGGACACCAACCAATTTCAGTGTGGGGGCCTGTTGTGGTTTGGGTTCTTTGACAATTCTCAATTCCCAACAAGAATTCTCTTTGTTCTTAGGCCAGGAAAATTAATTACTTCCCATTTTTGGAAGATTAATCACTTTCCATTTCGGGGGTTTCTTCCTCATCCGTGTGGGAAGGTCAGAGGAGAGTTGTGTTCCCAGACTCTTCCTCTCTCACATTGGTATCTCATACCAATCCCCTCAGTGGGTGTTAACAACTTTTCTGTCTTTCTCATACATTCACCTCCGCCTATCACCCATGCTACCAGTTGGCCAATGATCTCTCGGCAGTGTGGGTGTGGCTAGACTGGCCCTCTTAGAATTATCATAAAGAATTTTGTTCACAAAATCCTTTTTCTTTTCCTTTGGCCAAAACTTACAAATCCCAGATTGCTGAATAATTCTTATCACATCTTGATTTTGGGGACACTCAGATCCACTTAGTCAACTTTTAACTGGGTGGTCGTGCCCACCTGATAATTAAATTCTTTATTTTTCTCATGCCTTAAAATTCTCTTATCACCTGATGCTCATTTTCGAGATGCTATGTCTGACGTCAACAGTTTGAATAAGCAATAATAATGATCCCCTTTTCTACTCTCTTTTTTCATGTCAAGATTCATACATATACCAGATGGGTCTCTTCACTGGACCCAAGAACCAAAATTAAATGATATCTCAGGGTGGTCCCAAGCCAAATTTTTTTCATGGCCACATGCGTCGACTGGCTTTGTTTTTCTATCTGAATTCTGTTTACATTGGCATGTCACTCCCTTATCGTGACATTAATTAATTTTTGACAGAATCACAGTCTCACTTTTTCTTACGGATTTTCTGTCTTTTGCGAAAAGTATCTTTCTTTTGTAAATGAAATAAATTCTTTTTTTTTTTTTTTTTTTTTTAAATATCGCTCAGTCTATCTTTCGATATAGCTCTTTCTCGCCTTAAGTATTTCCCGTTTTTAATTTCTATGGTTAATTAGTTAGCCAATTACCATAGCTAAATAGTGTCATATTATTTTAACTTTCTATACACTGAATATGAAGAAAACGTGATTATTTTCAATTATAATTTCAGTCATTTTAGTTTTACTTGCTTATCAGGTGATGAGAAACAGTTAACATTGACTGAAATACTAGTTAAAAAAAAATAATGGCTGACAATATTTCATCTAATAAAAATTCCAGATAATATTACTACTAATACTACTAGATGAAAAGCCAGTGAAATTCAGATGAAAGAAATATCAGTCAAAAATTAATAATGGCTGACCTAATAAAAATACACAAAAAAAAAAAAACATATTTAAGACATTTCCATATTTCTTTTCATTTGTTAAATTTTGATATTTCAGGTGTAATCGATTGTTTCATTTATTCATTTTTTTAATTTTATTTGTGAGATTAGAGAACTTTTATGTCTTTAAATTTCAGAATGTGGTACCAATGACAAAACAGATTAACACTGCTGACTGTGGTAAGAGCCGTGGCTGCTACCGTCACCCTCCAGGCTGCTGGGAACTGAATTGTCTCTATATTGTTACATGGAAGAACTTGAACAGAACCGTAGAATTTGAGATGAGTATGATGACAGACAATATGCACAACCGCTACATGACAATGGCTTTCTCAGATGACATTTGGGAGGTCAGTATTTCTTTTTTATTTCAAACAGATTAAAAATTATTATATGTAATAGCATATAAGTTCACAAGTTTACTGTATTATGAATTTAGGTACAAGTACTTTTACGTCCAGTAAAGTCAGATCCAGGAGGCTTTTTTTTTTTTTTTTTTTTTTGTGGAAAAATGGGGTTACTTATGTTAGCTAATATTGCCATCATAGTCAGTTTTTCTTCTGATTTTGTAGCTTTTTATCACAATGCCAAGGCAATTTTAGATTTGTATTTATTCAACCCCATATGAGGTCAGGTTGTGACACAAGGTTGGTTTAATGTGGGGAGCCCGAACACGTACACCTGGGCAAGGAACAAAAATGCCCTGAGCACCCACAAATGTTGGTTGCGCTGACTTGGTGTGTACACCGATTTTTCTCTCTAGTGCAATGAGAAGACGCGGCCTCAAGCAGCTGTTCCCCAGGGCCAGCACCTCTCAGTATAATTTTCCTCATTTGTGACTCTGTCCTTTGAGGGATGATAAATAATGTGTTGCAAACTACTTGAGAGAGGATTTTACACACTAGGTATTTACTCTGTCTTCCCACTAAGATGAATTGTGACACAAGGGTTTTTTTTTTTTTTTTCTTCTTCTTCAAGGTGGGGACCCAAGTGCATACACCCGGGCCAGGAACAAAAATTGCCCACAGACCCCCGTAACTCTCTGTTGCGCTGTCCTTGTTGTGAGCACCAATTCCTCTCTCTGGTGCAATGAGAGGGTGTGGCCTTGGGCAGCTGTTCCCCAGGGCTGAGCATCTCACAGTATAATTTTCCTCTTGTCTTTGACAGGGTCAAAAGCCCAAAGACAGAGATGCAACTGAGAGATGATAAATAGATGTTAGAAACTACTCGAAAGAGTAATTTACACACTTAGGCAATCTTAGATTTTATGACCAGTTGTTATACAGGATGTGCATTGTGGTGTAATGAATATTGGTTTGGAATGAAAACTCGGAGAGCCGAGTTCAAATTCTGGTCAAGTTTGTTATATTCACTTATGCACAAATACCTTTGCAAAAGGTATGAATCCATCTTTTCTCCCTCCAGCTATGGGTTGAATAGCAGGACAGACTGTGTTCTTTAGCTTTGGTTGGCAACCAGTCTACTGCAGAAAGAAATGGCAACCTACTGTGGGAAAAATCTTCTGCCTCGTTAGTCATGTATCAAAAGATACATGATTGCACAGGCGTGTATCGTGTGTGGCACTTGACTTACTGACTATTATACAGCATGGATTTGAAATAAAATAACTTCTGGCAAGGTTTGAATTTGTATCTTATATTCTTAACAGCCCTTCTGACATGGACAACACTTTGCTGATTTGACCATGGAAACCCAGCAGCAGATAAAATACAAATTTATTTATATAGATACCTTTTTGCTTATTTAGTTACCTCTATTGCACATTGTTAATAAGGATTAACAATTCTTCATTTAAATTTAAATTTGAGAAAATAAAAATAAATTTTGTTCCTAAAATATTTTTTTCTGGGCTAGCCTTTTCTGCTGACATGAAGTAGAAAAATTATATTGAATCAATTGCTAGGTCAGCAGCTAGGCAAGTTGCTTCACTGTGTCGTGCTAGACAAGTTTTCTCACCAGAATCTATTTTACACCTTTATAAGTCTACCATTCATCCATGCATTGAATATTGCTGCCACATCTGGTCTTGTGCTTCTGCTATTTATTTAGAGATTCTTGATAAGATGCAAAGAAGAATCTGCAATATTATTGGTCCTGACCTGACATATTGGCTTCAGTCACTTTCCCACTGCTGTAATGTAGTTTCCCTATTGCCTTTTCTATAAATACTTTCACGGGTTTTCTCGCACAGTATCTCAACCTTATGATGTACTAGAGTGTTGACATGGTCTCATCTTTTTACACTTGAAATGGTTAGATGTAACCGCAAGTTCTCTGCTAAAAGTTTCTTCCCTCGCACTTCTCACTTGTGGAGCTCTCTTCTGTCATCTTGCTTTCCAGTCAACTTTAACCTTCAAAAAATTAAATGCAATGTCAATTGTTATCTTTTGTCTTCTTAATTCCTGTTCCTTTATTGTTCTCTCTCCATAACAATATTTTTTTCTTTTTCTCATATTCTTTTGCACGCTGTAACTCCTTGCATCTTAGTGGATTTATTGCTTTGCTTGGGGTGAAATGATTAAAAAACAAAATTGTTTTCACCTACTTGTAGCAGCAATAGTCTTAAGTTTTCTGTAGCCAAAACACCGTGTCTGTCAGATGGAATTCCAAGGATATGGGTTGAGAGTTCAAATAGATGTTCCTTCTTGATTCCTAATTTATTCTTCTTATGGATTCAGTTTTGTTATCAAAAGCAACAAAAATAAGATAGAAGATAAGCTAGTTGGAAAATAATAAGGAAAATGCTTCATCATCCAGCAGAATATATAAAGCATTTGATGGAGATAAAGTTAGTGACCATCATTTGGAAATTCCATGCAATGCTAAACACGATTTGCGGAGAACTTAGACCAATCTCTCTTAAGTTTCAACAAAAACGATTACAGGGAAATCATCTCATCCTTACTCCTATGGCATCCTTCTGGAAGTGTCTTTTCACAAAAATTGACTTTCCCAGACACCATAACTCTGGACTCAGGGTTAGACATTGGGGATCTGGGGACAGCAATACAAGACCGAATAGTGTGGAAAGGTCATTGTCAATGGAGTTCCAACTAACCATAGAGAGGTTGATGGATGATGATAGTGACCATACTGCTTAAAAGGGATTCAGGAGACTTTCATTCAGAAATGAGCCACTTGGAGATGAACCTTAAGATGAACCTTAAGATGAACATTAAGTATTGACATTGAGAAAGTAAAGATTTGTGAGACTGAGGTTGCTTAGGACTGTCAATGGGATCCATGGATTGGAATAGTGAGATTCTTTTATTTTTTTGACAAAGTTAATAGATTTTTGCACAGTATTTTGGAAGTAGTTCTATTAATTGAGATACCTCAATATCGGTCCATTTGACACCAACTGAGACCATTCTAATGTCACCTGATAGAATGTACATGGGTCCAGGGCACTTGTCATTGATGACACCTTTCTCTTACTCGGTATGTTGCAGTTGAACCATATACAAAAAAAAAAAAAATACACACAAGGAATCTGGGTACCTTACAAAGTCAGTGAAACAAAAAACAATGTCTTTTGGTTATCTAATACAATCTATGTGAAGCTGCCTGTAGCCTCATGGTTAGCAATATAAAAAACGAAATTGGCAAGCCAGATAAGAATTCTAGTTGGGATTGTTTTCACTTTGCCATTAGTGCCATTTCTTCTTGGCTATGAATAAAATAACAGGGTAGACTTTGTTCTAGAACCATGGTTAGCAACCAGTTTAGGAAAACAACAACTCAAAAAAAATTATATAGAAGGCAACAGGAAATCACTCCATTATCTTTCCAAAACAGAATAAGAAAACAATTATGACTGGATAATTTATAAATATTAAATAAAAAGCGGTGGAGAATCATGATCATATTTATTGTGAATTGACATATTAGTTTCTGTAAGGGTAAAGACAAAAATATTCAATCCAAATAATTTTAAATTCTTTTAAGGAAATGATGACCTTTGAAAGAATTTTTGCTAGTTTTTCCTTTTTAACTTTTTTTTTTTATTTGTTCCAGGGTGATGATCTTGCTATTGACTGTATTGAGGATGCAACACATGGAGTTGCGTATCTGTCTTTATCCAGAATTGATAGCGTCAATGTTTATTCTACTCTTCCCAATGTAAGCTTTCCTTTTTTTTTTCTTGTTTAAGATTGTCACAAATGCGTGAATCTGTGTCAGCTTGATTTTATTTTGTTTTGAAAATTATGATTAAAATTCAAGAACTTGTTATTTTTTTTTTTTTTTGTTTAATAGCTTAGCATTTTGACTGGTTTGATTTCCAATCCTCACAAGCAACAAAAATGTATATACATTATGTACAAAAACCTCATGATATTTTCCATTAAAAAAACAGTGACATTTGGTTACATGATACTAAAATGATTATACAGGCACTATAAATGCTGTATTGTACATGGGAAATTATGTATTTGTAGTCATTATTCATCTATACATACAGTGTTGTTTGATAAGTGACTCACCTGATTTTTTTTACTAAAAATATTTTTTGTCTATTGTTTTGGGGGTTAAAATAATTTTTAATCTTACTAATATAAAGACCCCTTCCAGACCACCTAGGAAAAAAATTTATTCACCCTAAGATATTCTATTGATAATTATAAATTTGGATATAAATGATATTCAGGGAAAAAACTCTGTGAAAAAAAAGTGACTTAGGGTGAGTAAACTTTTTACTAGGTGGTCGGGAAGAGGTCTTTATATTAGTAAGATTGAAAATTAGTTTGACCCCAAAAACAATAAGCAAAAAATTTTTTAAGTAAAATCGAACAGCACTGTATAGTGTGTGCATATACATTGTGAGAAATGGGCATGTTTATATTTTTCTGTTGAATTAGAAAGTGTGTGTGTGTATAAAAAAAAAAAAAAGTGAAGTCTCTAGATCCAGAGAAAAATAAAATTCTCTGGTGAAATAAATTATAACATTTGGAGCCTTAAAGTTGTCAGTTTTTCTTTAAATTAAATTATATATATATATATATATAGCAATCTTTCATTTATACATGCTTTAAGCTTTTTAATTAATTTTTCTTGTGCTTGGACAAGTGTTTTCTTTTTTGGATGCAGTGTCTAGAAACTGTTCAAATGTTCTGTAATTTCAAGCACTTTTAGCCATTATCAAGGATGATTTTATTTTTGCTTTTTAATTGGGTGTATGGGTTGTGTGTATGTTTTTAGTGTTATAGAGATCTTTTATTTTCCAAACACTGTTAGCACATTGTGGCCGTGTTTTTAGTTATTATTAAGTGTTGGCTTTTTCTTTTTATTAAGACTTCCATTATTTTGAATCTTTTTTTATATGTGGATGAGGTTATTATGTTTGTATTTTCAGCTAGTATGTTTCGAATGGAGTCTGGTAAGTTTGCGTGTGTGTTTAAATGGATTCTAATAGAGCAGTGGTTGGATTGATGTAACAAAAGGCGTCTGGATACGCATCTAGTGGTGTGACCAATGTAATTATTTATGAATTTGGTTTGATCAAACCGAATTCATAAATAGTAGTGTCTTGTCTGTCATCTTTAATGAAACAAACACACACACACACACACACACACACACACACACACACACACACACACACATATACATATATATATATATATATATATATATATATATAGTTTATGAAAAACTAGGTAATCATTATGGATAAACCTAAGGAGGATAAAATCAGAGAGCTCAATGTAAATCCAGGCAAATAATTTAAATAAAAAACAGACCACTTTAAAGGGTTCCATGTAATAAATTATTTCACCACAGCCCTTGTAAAGGACTGCGGATCATCAAGTTTGATGATCCCTTGGTCCTTTAAAAATTAAATAATTTATTACATCAGATTTTACACTGTTATTTAAAAATATATATATATATATATATATATATAATATATATATATATATATATATATATATTTTTCAGCTGAATCTCATAAATCCAAATGGTTATGTACTAAAATGTATCTCTTAAAACACACACACATAGGTCATATTTATTAAAAAACTTGTGGTATAACAATTTCTTTCTCTCATCTATTGAACCCAGAGATGTAACCATTTTCCAGTACATTATCACTTAAAATATTTGGTAATTTTCACCATTTCAAAAGTGTCTGTGTAACAAAAGAAATAAGTGAAAGTAAATTGCCAGTACAAAGTTGCTCATGTGAGTAGACTTATTCAATTGATATATTGAGCATTGTAATTAATTTTATCATATCAGTTTACCAGCAAATAACTCCTTGGTTTACTCAATAAACAATGGCAATATCCACATCTGACAGAACTTGATCTGTGTCATGATCCGCTTCTGTACAGACACGAAAATGCTTTAAAACTTTTTGCAGAAATCTATAAACAAAAGTGGGTAGCCATTAGATTTACCCTCTCTTTATAAAGGTCAACAGTAGTACTACAATTAATACCATCTTTCAAATTGTTTTACTGACTGTAAAATCGAGTTACAGATTTGTACTAGTTTACCAATACAATGGTAATCAGATTCTGGAATGTTGTAATGGTAAACAAGTATTACAGGTTCAGTGGATTAAATTTCTGTTTTGACTTTTTTGTCCATATAACTGTTATAAATGAACAATTATGTATGTTGTTCTTTTTTGTTTTTTATATAATCTATAATTTTTCAGTGTTATATACAAATTCTAAAACTTCATTTTTGTCTTTGATATTCAAAAGTTTTGATAAAATTATTGTTTCATTTATTTATTTATTATTGAATCTGAGAGCAGATAGCTGACAGGCAAAACAAGAACTTGCGATTGATCTAATGCACTAGATACCCAACCATGCCACAAAACGGCTTGGTCACCCAACAACCACTTACACTGACCAACTATGTAGAGACACAAGATGCCACCATAATGACCCTCTGTCCTTGGTGTGGAACTATGATGGTTGGCATTAAAGACACTTGAATGTTTGAGCTAGTTTGTAAGAGCAGTACACCATTAAAAAGTTTGGATACAAATTTACAAAGCCCAATGTACTTATTGTAACACTGAGTCTGATAACAAGAGTATCACAGACACATGCCTCACTGGCAAATGTGTGTGAAATAGTGACAGGTTTTGATCAAAGCAATGCCTAACCTTGGAGGTGGGGCCCAGTTAGAAATATCTTCACCTTCGGTAACCAGGTCTGCTCAGACAGACTCCGATGAAGTATGTTTCCAAGTTGCTAGATGTGACTCCCAAGTCATCTTAGCTGACTTATCCTTTATAAAAAAAGATGAATCCTTTCAACACCTAGCCATGATATTCCGCCACTACTGCTCATGAACAGAAATGCACACTTTGTCAACTCTTAGAGGACATGCTCAATTGGTTAAGGTCATAACTGATGAAGAAATTTGTGGTAGTCAATGTGATATTTACTGTAGTTCACCTTAATTCACTAAGACGAAATTTATCCATGTTAACACCTCCAATCAAGATCAGAAGCCATGAGAGCCATTCCTGTTATAGTGACAGGATATTTAATATTACTATTATTGAAATTTGCACAGTGATGATTTTAAACACCAGAAATAATTCTAAGCGATTCTCTGTCAATTCTCAATGCTTCAGGCAGCAAGAAATTTCTGCAGATATTTGCTTCATCTAAGGTGATTGTTTCTTACAATGTTGTTATACTGGATGTAGTTCTAATGGTATCAAGATATTTTCTCTTGACTATTTGGAATCTACTTAAGGGCTTCACTGACAATTAGCACAGCCTTGGCATATACACTCCACAATATCTCAATTTTTACCCTCAATTCTGAGTACTTCACAGTTATTTCAACTTCTTTACCTGCAGTAAATGTAGTAGTCTCCAGAGCATGCCATATTTATGAACTGATACTCATGGGAACTTTTTTATGATCAATTTTATATTTGGTGTGTGCTCAATAACTCTGTTAGTCTTGATTCTGAAGTCCTACAGATGTTTCATGTTCTCATTTTCCAATACCTTTCCAGCTTATGTTTGCTATTATTATTATTATTATTGTGTTTTTCTTATTTTCCCTTTGAATCATGAATAGCCTAAACTTGGCCTTTCCAATGAACACATTTCATATTACAACAGCCGTTTGAGATGCCTCTTCAACTTGGATAAATTTGCTAATCTTGAACACAGCAAAGCCCTTCGTTCAGGGAAATGGCATATTTTGCTTGGTGGAGGAAAAGCCTGGTTAGGTCAGTATTGTGCTATTTTGTTGCGTACGATTATCTCCCTTGTTTCCATTTCTTTGTAAAGCCCATTAAATATGTTCATAACAATCAGCCATTGTTAGTCCATGAAAGACCTGTGGGATTACCCCCATTTGGTTTTCCAGATTTGCCAAGATGCCATTAGGTGATGCTGTTAAAAAGCTAAAAAAATGAGACACTTGTTTCTTTTCTCTTTTTCTTCTAGCATGTGGTAGAAGTAACACCAGCATGGGACTTGTTACAGGCTTGGGGATACCTTCCCCCTGAGTAAATGAACTTGTATTCACCCTAGTGTATTTTCTCTCCTTTGTTAATCAGTCAATAGTTATATAAGAACACATGAAAATTTCACCTTGTTGAAATTTATTCCATTTTCTTTCACCTCTACCAACAATGATGACCCATCGTTTACATATGTAAATTTTGTTTGTCACTACTTTTAGTTGAGCTAGAAGCAGTACCGCAATAAGATTTTCCTAAAATCCTTCCATAACTGCTGTGACTGTGCTATTCTTTATCATGATTTACCAGTAAACTCCTATTTCATCTCTTCATCTTCTACTTGCTTTTTTTTTACTGAGTTTGTTACTCATTACGTACCACTTGGGCAACTTTTTTCTTCTTATGCATACCAGCCACCTCCCCACCTGCATTTTTGTTTTTTAATTACTTGTATAGTTGTCATGTCTTTTTATTTTTTTATATATGCTTTTCTTTCAGCATTTTTTTCTTGTTATACTCACAATGATTATGCTATTGTGCCTTCTGGCCTTATACAGGTATCTGTCGTTCTTGTAATTTTGAACCGAACACTTTATTCAATCTACAGAGAATAGACTGTTCTTATGTTACTTACCATACTTAGGGAACATAACTTGTAGAAACCAATTCTCACCAGACTATTTACCACTGTGTTTTTCCCTGCCACTAAACCAGACTTTTCTGTATGGCACAACCCAGAGATCAAACTTATCACTAACAGGAAACCAGGTATATTTAGTTGATTGATTTGTTTTTTTTTATGGCTTATCAACCCTTTGTGCATTTTTTAAAACTAAAAAATATTTTGGATTGTAAGAATATTTTTATTTATTTATTTATTTTTTTTGTGAGTGAATTTTTTTATAATAAGTATTTTTCCAGATATGTCTACTATTTAGCCCATAGCTGTGGGGAGACGATTTATACTTTTTCCAATGGTAACAGTGCATAAATGAATGTAAATGAACATTACTGGAAATTGAACTCAGCTCTCCCATTTCCAGATGTGCTTTAACCAGTTCATATTAGGAAATATTAATGCGTATTCTGTTTAAGAAAGAATGGAAACTCAAAAATTCCTCTACCTGAGTACAGACATTAAGTTTAAAACCCCAAATTGTTCAAAAGGTACATGACCTAGTGGATTGAAGTGTTTAGAGAATTAACTGATATAAAATATGATGGAATATAACTGGCATATCTGGTCTGGTGCTCTTACCTCGCAATTCTTGATAAAATTCAAAGAAAGGTCTGCAATATAATCAATCCTGACCTAGCATCTCTTCTTCAGTTACTTTCTCATTGCTGTGATATGGCTACCCTCTGTCTTTTTAGAAATATTTTCATGGCAATTGTTCTTTTCAGTTTTCCTCTTTCGTGCCTTGACTGCATAAATATAAGATATTCACTTATGCACAAATACCCTTGGGAAAGGTATGAATCCATCTCTTCTCCTCCCTGCTATGGGTTGAAGAGCAGGACAGACTTGGTTGTTTAGCCTTGGTTGGCATCCAATCTACTGCAGAAAGAAATGGTAACCTACTGCTGAGAAAAACCTTCAAAAGATACTTGATCGTCCAAAAGTTTATCACATGTGGAACTTAACTGATTGACTGACTAGTTTAGCAACTAGGTCTCATTGTTTTACTGTTGAAATGCAACCATCACTTTTATTCTAATAGTTTCTTTTCTTGTACTTCTCAACTGTGGAACTCCCTTTTGATTTCTTACTTCCCTGCCAACTACAATTTCCATAAATTTAAATGCAGTGTTATTCACATCTTCTGTCTTTTTGAATCCTGTTCTTTTATTCTCCTTCCTCCACAGTTCCTCTCACTAAAGTCATCACATTCTCTTTTCTCTTTTAACCCCAGTAACCTCATACATCCTGGTGGCATTAACATCTTGTTTAGGGTGAAATGATTTAAAAAAAAAAAAAATCCTCTAAGCATAGAATGGGTACAATCTACCTCCATAGATTGAATAAAATGTTTGTCATTGTGTGCATAACAATCAAGATAATCCTGCTTGGTCCTTAGCTCATATGTTATGCCCTGCCAATACCTCAGATAAACAATGGGCCATTCCTGTTTGATTACTGCTATTTTGGTAGTATTTTTTTTTTATCTCTCCATGATTCTAATCACTATGCACATATGTTTTGTCCTCAATTTAACTTTGAAGATGGAGGAGAAGAGCAAAAACTGTTTTTTTTTTTGTCCTTATTCTTTTATTTTCCTCCTTTGGTTTTAATATATTTGTATATATTATCTGAATATTGATGTTTCTAAAATGTTTGTTTTTAAAGCCATATTAAAATTTTGTATTTCCTACATATTTAAATATAAATTCAAAACAAAAATATTTAGTGTACAGTGTGACTTTTGTATATGTTCTTTTATAATAAAAAATGTACAAAAGTCACACTATGATTTTGTCAGTCAATAATTTGAAAATTAAATCTTTCTTTTTTAAATTCTTTGATTTCAGGAAATAAATTGCCCCATGGTCTTGGAATTAACCAGATTCCCATTGTGTCTGTGGATGAAGTTGCTATGTCAGATCTTGATGATATCTCTGGTGTGGCTCGATATCCAATGGCCAAAGCTCACAGTAAGCTTTTATATTGAAATTGTAATAATGACTTGAACATCTGTCAGAATTCTACTTTTAAAAAAAAATTATTCTTGCTCTCTTTTAACTTTGTAACCTAATGTTGGCTTTAAAATCAAAGAAAAAGTAATTTTTAAATGAAAAAGGAAGCATATACAGGCATACCTCAACCTACGTTGTTAATTGGTTCCAAAGATTATGACTTAGGTCAAAAAATGAATTTAGTCGAAATAACCACACTATAAACTGCAAATAAGCACCCCTCCATTGCCTATTACAGTATTCATGATATGTATATACCGTATTCTAAATAAAATAGTTAATTTCCACCTTATCTTCCAGCGATATAGCCTTACACTTAGCACTAGCACTGGGACTTTTCTTTGGGGCCATGGGCAAAAATGCGTTCTAAATCACAATTGAAAGAACATCAATGGCAGAGCACAGATGTAAACAAGTCTGAATTCAAAATTGTTGTTGAAGTGAAAAACAATGCATGAGTGCTGCCTGTTGGCAGGAATTTAAAATAAGAACATCAGCTGAAGATACTTTATTATGCTAATTTTTTTGTTTTTGATTTTATGATATATATAGACAAAATATTATTTTTAAATTTATTTAAATATGATTTTATATGTTTATTGTCATTTTAGTGTTTTGACATTTCTAATATCTTTAATGGCCAATGTAAACTCTAGTAAAATGATCCAAGGCAAGTTTTATTTTTCCATATAATATTTAAGAAAATAAAAACGATGTATCTTTGAAAATGACTTGAAAAGACTTAAGCCGAGGTATCACTGTAATTATTGATCATTATCAGTTCAGTACTATCTTTCTTTTATTTTTTTACCTTTTTTTTTCTTTCTTTCCAGGCATTCTGATGGTCCTTGCATGGGTCTTCTGTGCTTCTATCGGTTTCTTGTGGTCCAAGTATTATAAGAAAATGTGGCCAAACAGTCGTTGTTGTGGAAAGAGATACTGGTTTGTAGTAAGTATATGGCATGGAATTGACCATCCATCTCTTCTTCCCCCTAGTTATAGGTTAAATAGGAGAACAGACAAGCTTCTTGAGCCTTTGATACCAATCAATCTAGTAGAATGATAGTTCTGAATTCAAAACTACAGAAAAGACAACCGGATGCCACTACACTAATTTTGTCAAGAAGTTCTGGCAATTCACAAATATTAAAGAGAATAAAGCTGTGACTGCCTTCATCCTGAAATAATGACATTTTATAAAGAAAATTTACTAACATAATATTTGAACGCAAACATACTATATGCTTATAGTAATGGTGAGGTTAGCCATTTCCTTATAAGGAAACATTTGGCATTCATTAACCAAACAGTGATACTGTTGGTTGAAATTTATAAAATCCTTCTCTCAAAGTAATTTTTCTAGGAATCGACTTTTCAAATCCACTGTTATCACTCTTTCATGTATTGATAGAGGTTTCCTTCCTAACCTTTTGTTTAAGCTAGTGTGTATTATGTCCTTATTTTCTCTTTGACTTATATGTGATATCCATTTTAGTTGTTGCTGTTGTTGGAAGTCCTCAAGGGATTTGGTTTCTATTATTTGCTAAAGTTCTTTCTTTGTGATTATGTAATGCCATATTCTATAGCACCAAACTACAAAATCCAATGAAGAACAGTCCTCTTCAAGATTTATATACAGCACTAATATGATATAGAATATATTTATCAACACACCCACTCAAGCACAAGGTCAAGTTCAATGTGGGTGCCTACATAGACTAGGGGCAAAAATTCCTCAAGCACGTTTGCAATTTCTGCCTTTGAGAATGCTTGAGCAGATAAACTTAAATTTCAACCAAAAGTGAGATATTATAACTATATTTCTTCAACAAAAAATATCAACATTCTCTAGCAAGTGTTCCAATAAATAGGACTCACTTATGCTTACAATAAAACAATGTGTCAAAAAATTCGTTTTTCCCTTGACACCACTATTATTTTAACTATCTTCACTCCCTTGGCAATGTTTGTTTTAAAAAGTGATGATAAGAATTTTAATAAAACCTAAACATATGAAAATGAATTTAGGCATTTTCTTAGATATTATTCATTTATTAGACTGTTTATTTAGAAGAATCATTTTATATTTACGATATTCTAAAAATATGAACCAACTACAATGCAATGTTTAGCATCAATTTATAAAGAAGTAAATAGGAAAATAATTTTTTTGTTCATAAATTTATAAAAAAAAAATGTCTGTCAAACATGAAAATTTAAATAAACACATAATAACAAGTAACTAATTATAAATTTTAAAAAATACATTTTCTGTGCATTTCTTTCCTGCAGCAATTCATTGATATTTTTATAAAATTATGAATAAAAAAAATTGTTTTCATAGTTTATTGATAAAAATGATAAATAATAAATATTGCATATTGTAGATGATTTACATATTTTGACAATATTTTATAAATATAAAGTTGTAAGTAATCGTGATTGAGTGCTTGAGCATACTGACCTCGTTTAACTACTAATCTTGTCACATAGTGTGCTTTTTTCCCAGAAACTGTAACTAAGGTCTGCACAGTATAGATACAATATACACTCTGTGTTGGCTCAGTTGGTGTTGAAGAAACAAATCTAATCAGATAAATCTGCAACAAAGTTTACCTAATCACCCAAGTTGAGAGGTGTACACAGACATAAGCATTCAGCCATTTATTCTTGCTATTTACTAAGGGCTAAAGTAGCTGGTATCTCATGATATTTGAATTTACTATACAAGTTCTTCAGAAGCATTCTGTGAATATCTTGGAATGGAACATGTGAGGAATAACAAAGTTTTAGCAAAAAATGGCAAGTGGACGAGAAAAAATAACAATGCACAACCTACCCTTGTAGTGAGCTTGTGTAAACAGGGATTAGGAGAGATAGCAAAAAGACAAACTTTAGTAATGGTTACAAAGGACAAGAAATTGTGGAGAGCCATGATCACCAATGTCCTGAAGGGACACAGCATATAGAAGAATAGAAGAATACAAGCAAATTGGTCTATGATGTGAGTTTGTTTAACTATGATATTACAATAGGTGCCTTTCTTATTAAGTTTAGTTTGGCACAAGGCCACATATGTGGAGTGCTTAGTAAGGATTCAAATCACAGTTATAATTGCAACATTAGTTTGCTAACTAGAGGTCTATGCTGAGACTTGCTACAGTTATTTACTCTGACGAGATTAGTCTGACATAGACCATGGGAGGTAATTCTTGAGGATAACAAACAGAGTTATTTCCCTTAGAGTATAGATTATAAATTGCTATAGACGATCATTTTTCTATTAAATAAAGTGAAAAATTTAATAAAATTAATTTCTTTTTGTTGTTCTTCAGCATCACTGGACTCTGATGACTTTGGTGTTTATTTTCACTATTTTGGCTATGATTCTCTTCTTTATCGATGCTGGTGGCTACTATGAGGTGAGTTTTCATGAAATTGTCGAGTAGTTGACAGAAAATATATGTCAACATATACTAATAATGTTATTAAAAATGTTTAAATTAATCCTGGTGTCATTGTTTCAGTTGTAATTTTATCTACTCTAAAGCTGTAAAATTTGTAAAAATCTCTAAAATGCTGCAGATGTTACAATCACTTTTAGAAATAGTAAATTGAACTTTGTTTTTGTTAAAATGAAATATTAAACACTTAAATTTATTCTTAAATTGTGAAGATGCACCACAAGACATTTATTGTTCTTGTAAAGATACATATAATACTTCTAAGATATGTTCTTTTTCTTTTTTAGAAAATTGATCTTAATTTTCCTACTTTTGCCATTATTGTAATGTCTTGTTGCTTAATTCTACAACTTTGCTTAGATATACAATCGAAATGAAAGGAGGGTCTTTTTGTTTGATTGGGTGAAAAGGTAAATATTAAGGAAAATCATACAAAATAAACATTTTTATTTATTTTATGAATTTTACAAGATAAAGTATTTTCATTATTATTATTTTACTAGCAGTATAAGCCATCTTTGACTGGGTCTTTCATTACTAGGAGTTTTTGCTGTTCAATTGGATCAGTTTAAGTTTAAAGTCAGCCCACTCGAAAATCAATATTAGTAACAACATTTGGGGGTAACTAAGGCACATCCCCAAATGGGGGGTTAACAATTTGAATGTGGGGGGGGCTGAAAAGAGAACTGTATAATAATAAATAATATTGTAATAATTTAAAGTATTTATTTTTATTAAAGTTTTTATCAAAGATATATAGCCAAGAATAGATAGTAAATAGTTAAATGTTGCTAAGAGTTATAATGGACAAGAAGTAGTGGAAAGCCATTGTCAGCAAAAATTTGTACTCAAAACTGGCACTGAAGAATTATCTATCAAACAAAAAAAATTTCCTCAAAATCTGATGAAAACTCTGGAAATACATAAACAACATTCGATCACACACACACACACACACATTTTGAGAATTATAGATATAAGATTACTAATAAATGAAACTACTACTAGTAGTAATCATAGTGAAAATGCTTCATCAAAAAACTGATAATAAGCTGAAGTATGATAAATAATAAAATAAGAGCAATAATAAAGAGTGAATTGATTCAATGTTGGGATAAAACAATATGGAGTCATGGTGATAATAAATTAATAGCAATCACAAGGCACATTGAAGACAAAAGATGAAGGAGTGGGGAAAAACCAGCAAGTAATTTAGAGTTTGTGTAAATGGAAGGTGGAACAAACAATAAAAACAAAAACGGGTCATATAAATAAAAGTATTGCTGATGAGTGTATCAATCCAGAGTGTTTAGATAAAAATCAACAGTAATAAGATGAAAAAAACTAAGTAAAACTATTAATAAAATAATAGTAATAATGAACAGTGTATAGGGCCAGAGTGTTGGGATAAAAATCAACAATAATAAGGTGGAATAAAACTGGCCATAATATTAAGAATTTTTGTTATTTTTGAGTCTGTGATTCTACTGAATTTGTGTGGGGAGAAAAAAAAATTGGAAATTTGATAAAATATCCTTTACTCAATCTGGGGAATACAGAGAAGTAGCGGGTAAATTTTCATTAGAAAATTTTAATTAATTTTTTTTTCCATTATGAGGAAACAAATATCTTTGTGTTAAAATTTGTGGAAAAAAAAAATAGAAAAAAACAAGTAGAAAATTTAAACATGAAAATCCACTCACATTTTAAAATTAAAATAACAAATGCAATCTGATAAGGATTTTAGCATTAATTCATTGATTACTGAAAGAAATTTCAATTGTAATTGGAAAATTGATTGTAACTTCAGAATATTGAATATTAACCTAATTGGTTAAATATGCAGATTACTGGGACGGGGGCCCTGAATAAGCAACAAAATAAAGATGAAAATGGATACATTTCATTATTTTAATTGTGCCAGCAAATGCATCTTGTTAAAAATATTTCTCAATTATTAAAAGAATTATTCAATAACAAGAATTCAGAATGGTTCAGAAATTTAAAATATTAAAGAACATCTGTAAATGAAAATAAATCTTTAAAAAAAAAAAAAAAATTTTTTTTTATATCTCAAATGTTTACAGAATATTTTATTAAAAAAAAAATAAAACATTCAAAACAAAACAATCCTCTAGTTTTCTTTTTTGATTCAAGGCAACCATTTTACTACAGCTTAAAATTAAATTTTCAATCTGTTTGATTTCCCTGGGGATATACCTTTTTAAAAATGTAAATATTAAGTGTTCAAATTATATTTAAAAAAAAATGCTAAAGGCCTGTTAAATTTGGCTTTAAATTTCTGTAAATTTTTCTTACAGTATTTACTTTTCATACAAAAATTCAATCATGAAGGAATAAGTAACTAAAATCTACATGCACAAGGAGGATTTATTCTTTTTTTTTTTTTTTTTTTTTTTTTTTTTACCCATATAATTGCATATTGGTAATTGTAAGTTTGTATTTGTAAAATTTGAATATGTCGGAAAGTTAGCTCGTCTTGTTATAACTTCTGCAGCAATTTTTGTCAGAATTTTTGTTGAATTTTTGAGTTTTGTTTTTCAGCCTCCATTCCTTCCTTTGCGGGCACATCCACCACTATGCATTATTGTTACAGTCTGTATTATTGTGTGTGTAAGTAGACAATATTTTTCTAACCTTCAAAGGTTTTTTTTTTTTTTTTTTTTACATAGGAAGTGTTTCATTCCCTCTTTAGATGAGCCTTTTTTGGTTTTTAGGTATTATACAAGTCATTATTATACTTGCTGTTAATAGTATTAATTCTTTCTGCAAATTCTGTAATCTCAGTTTGATCTGTTAATCCAAGTATGGCCAACCTGTGGCGCATGCGCCATAAGTGGCGCATTGGATGCTTACAAGTGGCGCATTGCATCATTTTGATGAAAAGAAACTAAGCCACTTCTACTCATTCATTTCAGTGATTTTATATTTATTGCACGTGCTTTGTGAAAGAGCTAAAAGGATACGCACCTTGCCATAAGCATAGATTTTTCAAATAAATAGATTTTATTATAACTTTAAAATATGTCCATATTACAACACGTGCTGAAAGGAAGTGAATGTTTGTGTGGCACATTTAAATTAATCGTACAAAATATTGGCACATGGAATCAAAAGTTTTGGCCACCCCTGTGTTAATCCTTCCTTAATATGTGGGCGATCATTGCTCTCTACTATTTTTCTCTCCCTTGTAAGTCTAAGCAATGTTTGACTCCTTATTGTCCCTCCCTGTTTATGTTCTGTCATCCATTTACACAAACTCGTCATGAATATGTTACGTTTTCACTGCATTGGATGGATATAACGAAATCAAGAAGTAATATGTTGCTTGAAGTCGACATAATCTTGTTGAAATAGTAAACAGATAAGCTAGATCTAACTCTCTACTTGTTTACTCCTACTGATGATTCTCGGTGTTAGTCTATATGTATTTGGGCAAGTCCAAGTCCTTTTCTGGAGAGGTTTGTTCATTTCTGCATCAGAAAGTGATTCTATGATTCCCTTTCTCACTTTTGCTTTCAATATGTCCTGTGAGTGTCAGGTTCTTTAAGCCCTCTTTCTTCAAATGTCTCTTTCTGATCCTAAGCAGAAGTGTCTTTCCATTCCCCTTTTCATTAAAACTTGCTCGTTGCTCACTTGATCTGGCCATGGTATTCTCAGTATCCTTCTGTATAACCGCATCTCTATTGCCTGAAGTTTCCTCTTCCTCTTTGATGAAATTGTCCAATATGCCTTGCCATATAGGAGCAATGATATTGCATAACAACTGCTCACTTATGTTTGTTGCAAACAAAATTTTCTTGTTTCTTAATATTGTGCTTGGTTTCTGGAATGCATTTTTTGCTATTCCAATGCAACTTTGAATTTCTGCATCACATTTTATGTTTTTGCATTGTATTTATATCAATTCATGATACTAACAAGATAGTTATATAATAAATTGGTCTGAACATTTTTGTTGGTATTGTGTAATCTCACCTAGCAATATATTTAGAAATAAATTATAAAAACAAACAAAATAAGATTAATGCAAACATGCAGCATACTAGATGTACATCAGAAATTCACCAGTTAAGATACAGGAAATTATAAGCTGAGTAGCTTATAATTTTCTGCATCTTAACTATTGAAAGAGTTTAAAATTAGTTTTAAAGAACCTTGCCTAATTGCTACCTTTGGCAGTGTTCATTTAATATTGTTTCATATTGATAGAATTTCTATTTGTAAATGCTAATGTTCATTAAGCTTAATTATTATTAATTATTAAAGAATTGTTCCTGATATGATGTCACTATGTCTGATGATGATAGTGAAAACATGTCAAGGTTTCTTCCCAACTTAAAACTCAAGGAAATGTCTATAGTTAGCAGTTAAAATAATTGGGTTATCTCCCTTAGATATACATTTTTTTTATACTTAATAAAAAAGCTACTTAGAAAATGGTGGTCCATTTGAACTTGAAAGAAGTTTAATCTTACAGTTAGTGAAATACTGTTAAAATACTGTGTTGTTAGGTTTGAGGTTGTTGCTTGAAGTTGAGAAGGTGCCGTTGATTAACAAAAACCATGTGTTGATTTGGTTAGACAAACAAAAGAGATGAGATAGAAATATTTATTCTACCGTGAACATTTTCTTGTTGAGAAAATCTCAAGCAATGTTCCTGAAAGAAAGTGCAAATTAAAGGAATGTTCTTAAGAGAGTCTCTGTAAAAAGGCCAAAGAAAAGGTTGAACCTACTCTGTTGTTGAATTAGAGACTGTGATGTGTATAGCGTAAGCCATATGCAACTACAGCACTGAGCGCTAATTTTAGCATCCTATCCCGATCTATGACCAATAATATATACCAAGTGAACTTACATTCTGGCAATGATGTTAAATTTTATTTTGGTTCCACGGAAAATCTTTGGAAATTTCGTTTTTACCATTATATACCTTAAATAATTTAAAATACAAAAACAGTCCTGTTCTCTCTAAATATTTCTGGCAATTAAAGAATGATGGCAACTCACCATCAATCAACTAGGGAATTATATCTAGGGCTAAGGTTTATGATGGTAAAGGAAATAAATGCAATTTATGTTTTGCTGAAAAGTTGGTTATCTTAAAACACTTAAATAACGAACTTATTTCACAAGAGAAATGAATTGAAGATTACATATAGGCATAAAAATAAATATCTGCTTAAATATATTGATCCAGATTAATTTTTTTATTTTAATTTTTTATTTTTAATTCTAATTTTTATTTTTAATTTTATTTTTTAATTTTTAAAAAAATTTTAATTTTTAACTTTTATATTTAATTTTTAAATTGCTATTTTTTATGCTAATTACAGTCTATTTTTAATAAATTACTATTAAATATATATTCATGTTTTAATAAGAGCAAGTAATTTCCCTTTAATTATATAATTAAAAAAAAGTAAAATATGAATATTTCCCACTCAAATATATAAGTTTTCATTTTCTTTTTTTACATGTGTATATATCCTGCTTATTTAATTTGCCAAATACATTTTTAAAATTTTATAATTAAAAAAAAATCTCAGCATAATATATTATAATTAAAAATTGTGTAATGGTCAGTTCATACTCAGCACATGAAAATTACGTTGTGCATAAAACAGTCATGCTAGTGGTGAGGGTTAATATATTTATTAATATATACTTAATAGCTGTTATATTACATTAAGCACTATTTTATTAATACTAGCACTCTGTGTGATACATATATATATATATATATATATATATATATATATATATATATATATAGATGCATGTTTCATTAAATAATATAGACAAGTTTTGCCTATTTATTTCAAGTAAGTTCCTTTCATATTGTCTGATAAACTTAATAACATTATCATTGAAAGACGAAAGGAAATCACCATATTGATACATTTAAATTCAATCTAAGCTTTCGGCTTACATAAGCCATTATCAAAGATAGCAATTACTTTTCAATATATCAGCCAATATACAGAACAATAATGATAGTCTGTTTTTGTTGCATGAAAAATTTCCAAGCAATGACTAACTAGTGTATACAAGACGCGGAAGTGAAAATAACGTTGCAGCTCATGACGTCACATATGACCACGCGAGAGTGAAAACAAGAAGTATTAAGTATGGGAAGCCGTTGGTATAAACCAATTGCTTCTGTTATCAATTATAGGCATTTAAGATTATTTGTGAAGATTTCATAGTTTATTTTGTTCAGATTAGGTTTCAACTGTTTTATGTATATAGCTTCAAGAATTTTTAATTTTTGTTTATTGTTTTCATGTTTCAGTATAGTTGTGTTGTTAACAAGGATTTTCCGGAATTGTGTACGCAGCCAGGCATGTTGTTTTAAATGCCTAAAAATGTTAGAGTTATCATTCAAATGTAGAGTCAAGCATTGTGAAAACACAACTATACTTGAAAACAATAAAAAAAAAAAAAAAATTTTTTATTATAATATATAATAAAAAACAGTAAAGAGACCTCTGGTGAAGAAAATAAACGCACAAAATCTCCAGCAATATTCTTAAATCCCCTAAAATTAATAAAAAGCAATTGGTTTATCAACTATGTTTGGTTTTTCCTCTTACTATAAAGTATTACACATTTATTAAATTTTTTGAAATTTTTCTAAATAAAAACAGTTATTTTTGATTATAAATTTTATTTTTTCGAAAAGTGGTCCGGCATCATTTTACTTTTTGGTGTTAAGCCTTTTTGGTGAAAAAAAAAAAAAAAAAAAAACATTGATTTGGAAATTCTTGCAAAATGAAATGTTGTCGGATGTTCATGACATGAAAGGAAATGAAAATAAATAGAAAACTTGTTATATTATTTAATGAAATTTTTTTAATGCCTCTCTCTCTCTCTCTTTCTCTATAAATATTTAATATATATATATATATACCAAGTTTATAATTGGTATATACAAAATGAATTCCAATAACCAAAATTACTATTCTTAAAACAGTGCTCAATACAAAGTAGAGCAGATATAATTATTTTTAAAAAAATTTATAACATAAATATGTTATAAAATGACTACAAAAAATAGCCATTTTGTTTCAACACTGATTTTTCTTATCAAGTGATGATGTTGAATGCAGAATAAATGGTTTTAAAGTTTCAAATTAATTAACAATCCTTCACAAGGAAAAATTGTTTATTTGAAAGCTAGAATGACCAATCAAAATAAAAAGTATAGAAAAAAATTCAAAAGTTTGATTCTGCGGAGTCATGTTATAATAGCTATTCAAATCTTTAAAATACGGGTAATATTAAAAAAGAATTTATTCTAACCAACAATTACTAAATTCTATGATAAAATTTGATATTAAAATTAAAACTGTCAATTTTAAAAATCAAATTTAAACACTATTAATTTTAAAAATTATAAAATTACTAAGGAGAAAGAAAAGAAATACATATGTTATTCAATTTATTTCTTCGTTGAAATTACGATTAGAACAGATAAACTACTTCATCCAGTCATCCGACAATATATATGTATACATTTTAATCCCAATTAATGCGAATGGGGTCCTAAACTCATGTGTAAAACAACACAATCAGATTATAATACCTAAGCACCCAGACATATTTAGATA